GAGAGGAGGAGGAGGAGGAGGAGGAGGAGGAGGATAAGGAGGAGAAGGAGGAGGAGCAGGAGGAGCAGGAGGATGAGGAAGAGAAGGAGGAGGGGGAGGAGGAGGAGCGGAGGAGGTGAGGAGGGGGAGGAGGAGGGAAGAGAGCAGGGAGGAGGAGACAAGCGACGACCGCGACGACGAGGACAAGGATTAGAGGATCAGGAGGAGCAGACGAATGCATGGAGGGCTACGTGAGAGCCACGGGTGGCATGGCGCGACTCTTGAAAACCTCACACAACACCAAGGGTGAGTGCTCGATGGGCGTCATGCCTTTTGACCCGACTGGCGACAACCAGTTGCGACCGACTGCGGATACCCTCGGTGGCCTAGACGACCATCGTTCCCCATGCGCTCTAAAGTATCTAAGCCTTTGTTGGACGGAAGAGGGACACGCGCCGATGTCTAATACCTAGCATCACCTTGCATCCACAGCGATAGCTTTACGGAGGCCCATTCAGAAGTTCAACTGGTAGCACGGACACAAACTCAAGTCACGCGGAAAAAAAATACCGTCCCCTCGACCCACACAAGACCTTCGACCCCATCATCTTGATCGACCGAGCACAGAGCGTTGGGATCAGTCGCTACACATATCTGACATGGCCTGGAGCAGTCCCCAAGGAGACATGCATCCTGAGTTAGCTGGTGGCAAAGGGTGCACATCTGCTTGCCACGCCCTATGGCACTTCAACCATCGCTGTCTACTAGGGCCGCGCCGAGCGCGCGGCGAGAACTTCGGCCAATATTTGGCCGCTCCTCGATCTATTGGGACATGGCCATAATGATTATCATAGCCTCGCTGACTCGCTTGCGCACGGAATGAAATATGCAAGCTGACTTCTCTTGTTAATGCTGGAGGGGCGAACGTGCTCAAGAAACTGGACTAGCGTTCCCGCAAGTTCCTCCAAAAAAGCTGGTCCAGCTTCGGACGGAGGTTTCCGAATCAGATGCTCGACTGTAGAGACGGAAGACCGACGACGTCAAAGGCCTGGAAGACTTACTTTCCATTTGAAAAAACCCGGTGCGAGCCCCAGGAAAAGCACTTCAACTGAAAAGTGCACTGGTCACTCGAGGGGGGGTCAACAACAATTCTTCTTCAGAAATGAGAACTCACTGATAACAACAACAGCAACAACAACAGCAAGAACAACAACAACAATAACAGCAACAACAACAACAACAACCAGTTTAAGTATGTTCCTTCTTATCTGCTCGCGTGACATTCAACACGTCTATCCGAAACCCTCGATACCCGCCATCTTTGTCTTCGATCGTACCTCTTGGGGGTATATCTTTCTTACCTGCAACGTGTGTTTCGTGCAGGCCTTAAGGCAGGGGAAGAGAGGCCGGATGGAAGGAAGGGAAAAGGAGGAAGGTGGGGTGCTGAAGAGTGCGTCCTGCATGAATCGCAAGAAGTCTCAAGCGATAGTGCGATTCCCAAGTAAATGGCGGAAAAAAATCACAGCGAGAGCGTGATTCCTGAGTGTCGAGGGCGCGGCGTCTGAATGAATTGTGGTGAAATACCACGCGAGAGCACGATTTTGGAATGAGTTGCGAGGAAAGAAATATCAAGCGCGAGCCGTTGTCGTTGTAAACCGGAGGGCGCGAGCGCAGCTTGGTGACCCCTCACTTTCCCTTGTGAAAAACCGCGCGCGAGCTCCAAGAGAAGCACTCTAATTGAACCACTACAATGGTTACCGGGCAGGGGGTCATCAATAATGATGCTTCACCAATCAAAATGCAGCAACAACAATCAGTTTGAGACTCTTCGCTCCGATCTGCGCACGTGCCAATAAAAACGTACATCCCAAACCCTCGGTACCCTCCCTCATCGTCTTCGATCGTACCCCCTTGGGGGTATATCTCCCTTGCCTGCCACGTGCAATTAGTGCAGCCCCTAAAACCAGGGAAAAGAGGACAGGTGGAAGGGGGAGGGAGAAGGATGGAGCACGAGAGAAATTAGCAGGAGTGGGGCAAGGAGAGGAAAACATGTGGTAGTACCAGATGGCGGATCGGGTGGGCAGGCCCATAGCGGGCAGGTCGGGAAGGCGGGCCCGGGCGACCCCCAGGTCGAGCAGGCGGGTTGCTGAAGCGTGCGTCCTGCATGAATCGCGACGAAGTCTCAAGCGATAGCGCGATTCCCGAATGAATCGTGAGGAAAGCAAGAAACGAGAGCGTGATTCCTGAGCGCCAAGGGCGCATCGTCTGTACAAATTGCGGGTAAATCCCACGCGAGAGCACGAATACTGCATTAATTGTGAGGAAGTCCCGCGCGAGAGCGCGATTCTTCAATAAATTGCAAGAAAATATCAAGCGGGAGCCGTTGTTGTTGTAGTTCCGGGGCCAGGGGCGCAGTTTGAACAGGAAGACTTTCCCTGACAGAAAAAACAGGGTGCGAGAAAAAATGCATATGTTACCGGAGGGGGGGGCTCAACAAGAATTACTCTGCAGAAGTGAAGAGTTCAACGACAACAGCAACTACAACAACAACAACAACAATCAGTTTCAGACTGTTCGCTCTTACCTGCACGCGTGCCACTCAACACGTATATCCGAAACCCTCGATACCCGCCCTCTTCGTTTTCGACCGTACCCCCTTGGGGTATACCTTCCATACTTGCCACGTACATGTAGCGCAACCCCTGAAACAGGGGAAGAGAGGACGGATGGGGGAGGGAGAAAGATGGAAAACGAGAAAGATTAGCAGGACGCAGGAGCCAGGAGCGGAAAACACATGTCAGAACCAGACGGCTGATCGGGCGGGTAGACCCTACAATAACGGGAGTGTCGGGAAGGCGGGCCAAGGCGGCCAGGTCGAGCAGGCGGCTTGCTGAAGCATGAGTTCTGCATGAATCTCGAGGAAGTCTCGAGCTATAGTGCGATACCCAAATGAATCTTGAAGAAATTCACAACGATATCGTGATTCCTGAGCGTCGAGGGCGCGGCGTTCGAAAACATTGCGAGGAAGTCCCACGCGAGAGCGCTATTTCTGCATAAATTGTGAGGAAGTCCCTTTGCGAAAACATTGTAAGGAAGTGTCAGGCGGGAGCCGTTGTTGTTTTTGCTGTTGTTGCAAAGCGGAGGCCAACAACACAGTTTGGTGACACCTTACTTTCCCATGTAAATTATCCCAGTGCGACCCTACCTAGGAGTTGGAGCCCCTAGGAAAGCAGCATTAGTAGTAACGGTAAAGCTAAGCTAAAGCTAAGCTACAGCTGATCTAAAGCTAAGCTACAGCTGAGCTAAAGCTAAGCTAAAGCTAAGCTAAGGTTAAGCTACAGCTAAGCTAAAGCTAAGCTAAAGCTAAGCTAAAGCTAAGCTAAAGCTAAGCTAAAGCTAAAGCTAAGCTAAAGCTAAGCTAAAGTTAAGCTAAAATTAAGCTAAAGCTAAGCTAAGCTAAAGCTAAGCTAAAGCTACGCTAGAGCTAAGCTAAAGCTAAGCTGAAGGTAAGCTAAAGCTATAGCTAAAGCTAAAGCTAAAGCTAAAGCTAAGCTGAAGCTAAAGCTAAAGCTAAAGCTACGGGGCGCAACTGGGGGAACCGCGTGGCGGGGACTGGGGGAACCGCCCGGGGCGTTTTACACTGCCCGGCCCACTTAAGCAAACAAAGTAAGAACCCTCTAGGCAGAGCCTAGGTAGGGAAAAAACAGGGTGCAAGCCCCGGGAGAAGAAGCACTTCAATTGAAAACTACAATGGTTACTGGAGGGGGGATTAACAAATTTTTCTGTCGAAATGAAACTTCAACAAGACCAACTACTACTAGTGCTGATGCTACTACTGCTATTGCTACTGCGACGACTACTACTACTACTACTACTACTACTACTACGACGACGACGACGACGACGACTACTACTACTACTACCACTACTACTACTACTACTACTACTACTACTTCTACTTCTTCTTCTTCTTCTACTACTACTACTACTACTACTACGACTACGACTACGACTACGACTACGACTACGACTACGACTACGACTACGACTACGACTACGACTACGACTACGACTACTACTACTACTACTACTGCTGCTGCTGCTGCTGCTGCTGCTGCTGCTACTGACTACTACTACTACTACTACTACTACTACTACCACTACCACTACTACTACTACGACTACTACTACTACTAACTACTACTACTACTACTACTACTACTACTACTACTACTACTACTACTACTACTACTACTACTACTACTACTACTACTACTACTACTACTACTACCTCCTTCTTCTTCTACTACTACTACTAGTATTACTACGAATAATAAGAATACGAATGCTTATCACAATAATGATACAGAGGCAGCAGCAACAACAACAACCACAACCACAACCACAACAACAACGACAACAGGAACAACAACAAACATTGTAAGACTGCTCGCTTTTATCTGTTCGCGTGCCACTCAACACGTGTATCCGAAACCCTCGATGCCCGCCCTCTTCGTCTTCGATCGTACCTTTTGTGGCATATCTTCTTTACCTGCAATGTGTATACCGTGCAGCCCCTAAGGCAGGGGAAAAGCGAAGGGATGGAAGGAAGGGACAAGGGGGAGGGAGGAGGATGCAAAACGAGAGAGATTAGCAGGACGCAGGGGCCAGGAGCAGAAAACACATGTCAGAACCAAACGGGCTGATCGGGCGGGTAGACCCCAACAGGCGGGTCGGGAAGACGGGCCCAAGCGGCCAGGTCGAGCAGGCGGCTTGCAGAAGCATGAGTTCTGCATGAATCGCGAGGAAGTCTCGAGCGATAGTGCGATTCTCAAGTAAATCGTCCAGAAATCCACACCAAGAGCGTGATTCCTGAGTGTCGAGGGCGCGGCGTCTGAATAAATTGCAAGGGAGCCCCACGCGACAGCACGACTTCTGCAGAAGTCATAAGGATGTCCTGCGCGAGAGCGCGATTTGGGAATAAAATGTGAGGAAATATGAGGCGCGAGCCGTTGTTGCTGTAAACCGGGGGCAAAAGGCCCAGTTTGGCGAAGCCTCGCTTTCCCTTATGAACAAACGCGTGCGAGCCCCAGGAAGAACACTTTGATTGAACAAATACAATGGCTACCGGGGGGTCAATCCACAACAAGTATTCTTTAGAAATGAGAACGCAACAACAAGAACTACAACAATCATTTTAATGCTGTTCGCCCTTATCTGCTCGAGTGTCCAATAACGCGTATTTACCAAACCCTCGATACCCGCCCTTTTCATCTTCGATCGAACCCCTTTTGGGGGGTATACCTTTCTTCCCTGCAGGCCGGGCCCCGGCAAGCGGCGGGGCGGCCGCGGACCGTCGGCCTGGCCAGCGGCAGCGCTGATCGGCGGGGCGGCCGCGGACCGTCGACCCGACCCCAAGAGGGACGGGCAGGTGACCGACCAGGACGACGACGACGACGTCGACGACGACGGCGACGATGACGACGTCGACGACGGCGACGACGACGAGCGAAAGCGAGAGCGAGAGAGAACGACAGTAGGGCCACAAAGGACACGAAGGAGGCCACGAAGGGCGACGGCGGGGACACGAAGGGAATGCGTATGGGGCCACGAAGAGCGCGAACGAGCGGGGGCCACGAAGGGCAGATAATGCGGGGCCACAGGAGGCAACGATGGGGCCACTGAGGGTAGCAACTGGGCCACGTAGGACAGTGAGGGGGCCACAAACGGCGACAGCGGGGCCACGAATGGCATGCACATGGGCCACAACGGGCGCGAACGAGCGGGGGCCACGAAGGGCACACATATATTGGGCCGCGGAGGGCAAGGACGGGGCCACTGAGGGCAGCAACGGGGCCAAAAAGGGCAGCGAGGGGGGCACGAAGGGCGAAAGCGGGGCCACGAAGGGCATGCATATGGGGCCACCACGGGCGCGAACGAGCGGGGGCCACGAAGGGCATACATATATGGGGCCGCGGAGGGCAGCGAGGGGGCCACGAAGGGCTGCAACGGGGCCATGAAGGGCAGCGAGGGGGCCACGAAGGGCTGCAACGGGGCCACGAAGGGCTGCAACGGGGCCATGAAGGGCAGCGAGGGGGCCACGAAGGGCTGCAACGGGGCCACAAAGGGCTGCAACGGGGCCGCGAAAAAAAGCGAGGGGGCCACGAAGGGCTTCAACGGGCCACGAAACAAAGCGACGGGGCCACGAAGGGCTGCAACGAGGCCACGAAGGGAAGCGAGGAGGCCACGAGGGGCTGCAATGGGGCCACGAAGGGCAGCGAGGGGGCAACGAAGGGCTGCAACGGGGCCGCGAAACAAAGCGAGGAGGCCACGAAGGGCTTCAACGGGGCAACGAAGGGCAGCGAGATCCCGATTCCTAGGTAATCTGTGAGGGAGTCCTAAGCGTGAGCGCGACTCCTGGGTGCCTGGGTGTCGGGAGCGCGGCGCTTGAGAAAATTGCAAAAACCAAAAAAAATCCAACGCAAGGGCGCTTTTCTTGCGAAAATTGCAAGCAAGTCTCCAGCGAGAGCGCGACTCCAGAGGGCCGGGACGACGATTCCTCCATAAATTGTAAGGAAGTCCCAAGCGAGAGCGCGATTCCTGAATAAAATGCGAGGAAGTCTCGGACGGGAGCGGGGGTCCTGGCTAAATTGTGAGGACGTCTCAGGCGGGAGCCGTTGTTGTTGTAACCAGGGGGCCAGGGGCACAGTTTGACCATCAAGACTTTCCCTGTTAAAAAAAAGGGTGCGAGCGTCGAGGGGCACACTTCGATCGAGAAAAAACACAATGCACCGGTGAGGGGGAATCTACAGTAATTATCCTTCAGAAATGAAAGTTCAACAACAGCAACAGCAACAGCAACAGCAACAGCAACAACAACAACAACAACAACGACCACAACCACAACCACACCAGCACCAACAACAACAACAACAATCATTTTAAGACTGTTCGCTCTTATCTGCTCGAATGTCATTCATTGTGCATGTCCCGAACCCTCGATACCCGCCCTCTTCGTCTTTTGGTGGGTATTTCTTCGTGAGTCCTGCGTGATTAATCACGAAGTTTCCAGCGAGAGAGCGATTCCTAAGTAAAAGTCCCCAGCGAACGTGCGATTCCTGAATGGCAAGAGCGCGGCGCCTGAGTAAATTGCGAGGAAGTCTCATGGGGGAGCGCGATTCTTGAGTAAAATTCGAGGAAGTCTCAAGCGGGAGCGGGGGACCGGAGTAAATTTCGAGGAAATATCCAGCGGGAGCCGTTGTTGATGTAAACCGGGGGCCAGGGGCACAGTTTGACGAGGAAGACTTTCCCTGATAAGAAAACAGGGTGCGAGCGCCAGGAGGGGCACTTCAATTGAAAAAATGCAATGTGCACCAGAGGGGGGATCAACAAGGATTATTCTTCAATTGTGTGAACTCAACAACAGCAGCAGCAGCAACAACAACAACCAAATCCCGCCATCCACTCTCTTCCTCCCTCTCCCTGGTTCTTCCCCTCCCTTCTTCCCCCTGCCTCGATCCGATCCGATCCGATTCCTCCTCCTGCCCGCCCCGCGCGCCGCGCCAGCCTGGGGCGGCGCCGGGGCCTGTCCGAACACGACCACCTGTCGGCGCCCCGAGTGGCGCTGCGGCAGGACAAAGAGGGGAGAGAGTGAGGAGGGAGAAAGGAGGAGAGGGGAGGAGGATGAGGGAGGAGGAAGAGGGGGAGGAGGAGGAGGAGGAGGAGGAGGAGAAAAGCAGCATTCACCGACCCGACACGACGGCAGGGTAGGAGGAGGGGGGTGGAGGGAGAAGGAGGGAGGAGGGAGGAGGAAAGAGGGAGGCGGCGCGGGACTCCAGGCGTCTCACCGAGGAGGGGAGGTGGTGGAGGAGGAAGCCAGGCGGAGGATGAGGCGGAGGAGGAGGCGGAGAGGGAGAGCACCTGCTCCACGTCGCCCCAGTTGTTGTTGCGGCTGTCGCCCACTCGCAGGGTGGTCCTGGCCGCGCCGCTCGCGGTCCCACTGTCTACGGCGCCCCACCTCCCCGCCGCGCCCTGTCTGGAGGGGGAGGAAAAACTTCCTCCTCTCTCCTACTCCTCCTTCCCTCATCCTCCTCCTCCTACTCCTCTCTCCTTCCCTCCTCCTCCTCCTCCTCCTCCTCCTCCTCTATCAGGGGGATGCGGTCACCGAACCTGTGCCCAAACATCTGCCAAGCGTGGCCGAAACTGGCGCCCGAAACTTCGGACCGTGCCCGAGTGTGCCCCTCGCATCCTGGTTCGAAACAAGTAGGGCTCTCAGTGCAGGTTACAGGTTGGGTCACGCTACGTTTTCGGTCACAACTTCGGGCACGTTCTCGGTCACTGAAATTGTTCTGTCGCGAGCCTTTCTGGCTGATATGGGCCGGGCGTCATGAAAAACGAGGTCGATGGACAGAACCGAACGAAGAAACGTCGGCGACGGTATTGGGAATCGTCAATTTTGGTCATCGTCAACTCGTGGAACATCTTCGCAAATCGGCGACGGCTGGCATGGGCCATGACGAAGTAGGCGTCGACAAGATCCCGTGACACCTTGGTCATGGCCATCGCGATCCTTCCCTAGGATGCCCAGCCCCACTCCTCCCAGGAACGCTCGGCATCGCGGCACGAATCGCAACGGGCCTGCTTTCTCCCGCGCCCTCGGCCTCTGGAGGCTCGCTCCCGGGCTCGGCGGCCATCCAGAAATCGGCGGCGAGCGAGGGGGGGGGGAAGTGGGAAGGAGATGGCCGTCTCAGAAGGCGGCGGGACTTCTCAGAAGCCCTCGCGCCTTCTGAGACGTTGTCTGCGTCTTCGGGGGAGGCTTGGAAAACTTCCCAGAAGGTCGGGGGACCACCGAACCCTCCTGAGAAGGCCCAGCCCCTCCTCCCGCTCCCTCCCCAGGGTTCGCTGCCGTCGAGGCGCCAGGCGGCGCCAGGCACCGGTCCCAGGGGCACAGGGTCGAGAGCTCGGGAGCCCGAGTAGCGAAGGAGCCGTCATGTCGGACGTCGGGGGCCCTCCGCCTCGTCATTCTCACCCTCCGCCTCCTCCCTGCCTGGGCGCCTCATCATTCTCCACATCCTCGGCCCCCTTACCTCAATCGCTGCCCAATGCACGACAGGCGGAGAAAGAGAGAGAGAGAGAGGTAGGGAGAGAGGGAGAGAGGGAGAGAGGGAGAGCGAGAGAGAGAGAGAGAAAGAAATCGAAAAAACAAGCAAAACGAAAAGACCACAACAGAACATGAAAGAGGGTACTCCCCCATCCCAGGCGAGTCTAAAATAGCCTCAATCGAAGGCTTTAGCTCGGAGAGCGAGGGAGGGAGAGGGAGAATGAGAGAGAGAGAGAGTGAGAGGGAGACGGGGGGAGGGCAAACAACAAAAAAACATCGGGTCCTCCTCGTTCTCCCCCGACCCCTCCCCTTTTCGGACATGTTTCGACTACTCTTTCCGCCGTACACAGCACAAGAAAAATCTGGCACGTGGCAAATACTCTACACCGAGAGGAAAAAATGCGACTGCAAAGGGGGACTCAGCGGAGGATTGAGTCGCCCTTCTCCGACTCGCACATTCGTCGGAACGCTGCTGGGGGAGATGAAACGCAGATGGCATGCTCAAGCCAGGTGGCAAGGAAGAGGATGAGGAGAAGGAGTAAGATCAGCGGCGACAGGAGAAGCTGTGAGACAGAGGGGGAGAGAGAGAGAGACAACAAAATATAATGAAAGCGAGAGAGAAAGAGAACCAAACAAAACTCCTAATTCACACCCAGAAGAGTTAATACACGGGAAACTCACATGTTCCTTCCTCCTCCTGCTCCTCCGCCCTCGTCCTCTTTCCTCTCCCCCATCCTTATCATCATCCTCCTCTTCTCCTCATCACCCTCCTCCTCCTCCTGCTGCTGCTCCTCCTCATCCTCCTCCTCCTTCTCCTTCTCCTCCTCCTGCACCTGCTCATCCTCCTCCTCCTCCTCCTCCTCCTCTCCTCCTCCTCCTCCTCCTCCTCCTCCTTCCTCCCTCCTCCTCTTCCTCTTCCCC